TTGGACTTGGTAAAATGATGCACAGATATGAGATTCTTATGCATTTCAAGAACACATAAAGTATTGGTAATATGAAATGAACGCGAGGGATAAGAGAGGCCAAGAGAGCCAACATGAGTAACTGATAAACCTTTACCATCACCAATTACTACTTCATCAGTGCCATCATATTCAGAGTGGATGGAGAGGTTAGACAAATCAGATGTGATGTTGTGAGAAGCACCAGAGTCAACCAACCATTTCTTGTCTTTAGCAAGTGATTTACTAACGAAGTTGGCCACACCAGAGGTCGAGGTAGATAGCTTTAGACAAGATTTAGCAGTGTGGCCAAGAGTATCACAATATTGGCACTTGGGCTTGTGAAAAACATCACGGGATGAGTGGAGTCGGGTCTGACTCGATGAAGTGCCTCGAGTGAAGTTTTTGCGATGGCCACGATAGGTGAAATTGCCACGTGTTGTTGGGTTCGCTGTAACAATCAGCGTATTGGTGGCAGATTCAAGGCGCTTGAGATGTCTCATGACCAACTAACATGTCGTACAATTCTTTAAATGTCAAGAAAGTGGTGCGAGTGCGGATAGGAGCAACAATGTCATGATAATCAGGACCTAGTCCATGCAAGACATAGAGTGTAATATCATCATCAGATAGAGGAGTATCAATGAGAGCCAATTCATCTACAATGCATTTAATACTGTGGAGATAGTCAGTAATGGGTTTGTCACCACGTTGTATGAGAGTGAGTGCATCTTTAAGTTGCATGACTCATGTTCGTGACTTGTTGGCATACAAGCGAGAAAGCTTGTCCCAAGCGTCACATGAGGTTTTTGCCGAAGCAATAAAAAGAGCAATTTGTTCCGAAATAGAAGCCAAGATGGCATTCAAGAGAAGCTGATCCCGTCTAAACCAACGAGTATAGGCAGCAACATCATTTGTCGAAGTGATTTTGGTGGGTACAGTTGGACATGGGAGGGTTCTATCAAGATACCCCATAATACCGTACCCAAGAGGAGGGAAGAGAAAGTAGCACGCAAGGTTGGGTAGCTGGAGGTGGTGAGGCGCTGTAATTAGCTAGTGTTTATGGAGATTAAATGTTGTTCAGAAGTTTGACCACCAATGGGGTGAGAGACAACCGGAGAAGTCATGGCGGAAGCGGAAGGATCGTACTCGTTAGAGTCAAAACGCTCTAATGCCATAAAGAAGAACAAATGATAAAGAATGACAGATGTTCTGCTGTAAGAAAAATACATTGTATATTACAATTATTTGGCTTTTGTACACAAATTGCAATGAGGGCAGCAAGTTATATATATACATAAACCAAAAAGCTATACTAGGAAGCCTATTAATAGTGAATCAATATACAAGGAATAACAGCAAATTTACAGCAACCGTGTCCATGATTTGTGGCTATAGACTGGTTGATTATCCATGATTTTAGAGATGAGATTAACAGTTCATAATTTGCTCCTGTAGACTGGTAGTCTGACCAAGATTATAGGGCTAAGATCAAGGATCCTTTTCACCCCATTCATATATCCGTTATTTCCATCTTATATTATTACACAACCTTATGTTTTGTATGCTATTTTATATATTTTGAGCTTCTTGTTTGATTAAGAAATGTCTTGTTACTTTGCATGAAAAACATAAGGTTGTTGGGAAAAAAAATCTTCATGACAGTATAACCACCCTAACTATAACAATATTTCTACTTAAAACGCATGTTTATGAGTTGTAAAGTTAATTCTAATGATGCGTGAAACTTGTTTGCCAATAATAAATATCTAAGTTCAGACGAATTTTCCACATAATTTAGTATAGGGCAATGAACTAAATTTGAAAATGGGCAGCAAAAATAATTGTAAAGGCATGAGTGTATCGTGTGAATATACTTTGGTGAAACCACCCATCCAACAATAATGTGAATAAAACATGATATAGTTGTTAGATGGACAATAAGGCCATGTTTGATTGGCAACGAATTTCATGAAAAATTAGAGTATTGTCCCGAGTGCGGAGCAAGATTGAAAGCATTCACGGACCAGACCCGATCTCTCTTAGAATCCTAAATATGTCAATAATTATACTAATCCACATATGTCTCTTTCCCATCAATCAGTACTAGTTGAAGTAATGAAAAATCCCCTATTTTTTTGATGAGAAGCCATCTTGTCTTATAGCGCGAAACAATAGGAGAGCCCACTGCGTATATGCAAGCTCTTGACATCTCTACATCTCTTTTATCTGGAGCAGCTAGAGCTAAGCCTTTCTTTCACTCACCTTCGTCTCGGCAATATGGAACCTCTCAATAGCTCCCGTTCTTTTATGGGGTCAGTGAATACCACCAGATCGGGAAGAATTTCTCATTCGCAGCCACAGTCGTACGATAAGGCCCTCCAATAAGAGTTCAATCGTAAGTTCGCTCATTCAACCATTTCTCCTCGGCTCGCACGTCGTGATCACATCTATGCTCGGTGGGCGTCAATTTTTAGGATAAAATTCGTCGTTTTCCCTTCCGAAATTCCATTTTTTGTTTTTTTTTTTTATTTATGGTAATATTTCAGTTGCCGTTTTTGAGGTGATTACGTACTCGATTTGAGCCAAATTTTTGGCAAGTTGCTTTTTTTATTACATATTATATTTTGGTATGATTATTGGGATTACGCTATTTTTGGTAAAATTTCTATAATTTCGAATTTTCTCAGCTATATAACCCAACTTGTAGGTTATTTTTTGTCATTCCGGAGTTTAATAAAATTGAGTTGAATTTTCAGAGAATTCTCTCTGTATTTGGGTGTTTTCTTCATATTCCTTCTTATGAAACATCTGTTGCAGCTAGTCCGCAGGATAATCACTACTATGTTCGGCATTACTTATTAACAAAGTCCGCAAAAACATAACCACTTGTCTAATTTGGATACCAAATTTATTTATTTATTTTTGCCACATTTCGGATTCCAAATTGGCTCTTTTGATAAAATAACAACATTTAGCAGCGGGTTAGAAATTCCCTAGTGGGTGAAAATCCAAAATTGGCAAAGGAAAAATACCCTTAAGTTGGTCACCACATAGGTTTAGACATCCCCATTGGGGTCCAAACAGCTCCGATGGGTCTGAACACCCGGCCCAGCGGGTCTGAGCACCCCTACTTGTGGTGGTTCTCAACATCCTTAATGGTTTTGATCAATGAGTGTCAAAGTGATTAATGTGCCAAAATTCTTGTGTCATTGGTTGATGATATGCTAATTGGCAATATCAATTTTTAGGTCATCAATTAAATATTAAATAACAAATATATTTCATTGACTAATGAAATTGTATATTAAAAATCCTTCAAACAACTTGTGAGTTGAATTATCAGATTAGAGCTCTAAATTATAATAGAAAGAAGCATGTTGGGTCGAAAATTTCATGGAGGATTATTAATACACTTAATAAGAAATAGAATTTTTTTTTTTTAAATGGTAAGTCGAGAAATATATGTTTCAGACATAATAATCTATTAATTTTGTTAACTCAAAGGATCACCTGTGGATCCACATAGGTCATCTAGAGAGTGAATATACTGCACATCGAGGGAAATTAGTTAAAGCTTAAACCAACTGAGTCAACTTAATGAAAATCTAACATGACGATCGGAGATGCCATGAACTAGGTTCAATAGAAAAATTAATTATGGATGACTAAATGAGAAGTACTTATCTAGCTACATTTCTATTATGCGAATAAGTATTACCTACAAAGATCCACGTCAACCTCATAAGTGTTTCGTTCCACATTTCTTCCCCGGTAATATTTAGCCTCAAGACTCATTATTAGTGCTTGACTTTGCTTAAAATAAATAATTGTGTTCGTTTATAAATAGACTTTGTAGTTAATTTTTGAAACAAATATTATTTTATTTTATTTTATAAATAGTATATCTAAATGTATTTGGGAACAAATTTCTATTGCTAATTTAAATTAAGTTTTATTACGCGTCCATAGGGTTCTTAATTCTTAGCTAAAAATTAGGTTGCTTGGAGCTGGGAGTGCATAAGTGACTGATTTTGACGTCAAACTCCATATATTATAGAAAAGTAAAAGGTATTTGTCTTGTTTATAATGGAAGTATTAAAATTTTGTACATTTTCAATATTTCATTAAATAAGATTCAAAATAAAATCGTATAGATCTTTGAAAAGCGCCGGGCTAGGAGCCTCTACTGAAGTGGAATGGCTGGCTCAAGCTCCGTGATAGGTCTGCCTTTATTTAGACTTATACTAGGTCATTAAATTATAATTTATTTTCAAACTCATTTTGAAGACGGCATAGGTAACAATTCAAGACGATATATAGCTAGCCCCCGTTTGGTAGAATGCAATCGTTAATTAATTTTAGCCATATGTTTTATTGGATTCACAATATTTCAATCATATATTTCGTCAATTTTTATTAAAATTTACTAAAAATTTGATTTTAATTCCCACTAAATTGAGATATCATGTATAATGAGCTAATTGTTTATAATATTTTACTTATGATCATTTTAGTAAATAGAAAGAACGTTTAAATGATTAGAGAAATTCCTTTCTAATTATTATATACAAATATATGTAGAATAATATCTAAAAATATATTCAAACGTAGATTTTAATTTGACAATATATAAGTTACAAAGAATAGCACGTGAAACTAATTTAGTGGCAGATGCCCTGGTGAAACAGGCAATCGTAAGGGGTATTATGTCCATTGGGAGATAGTCCACCAAAATTATTGTATATTAATTGCTTGCAGAATTCAATGAATAAAATTCGGTTATTTTTCATTCACCTAAACACCTTAATCAACAAACATGTGATAGTGCCAAGCGAACGAAAAAAAAAAATTCGAGTTGGGCTAATATGCCAAAACTAAATGAGCTGGGGATTGGATCCGCCCATGGTGACAAGTTGTTACGTTTGGGGACTTAAGTTGAGAATTTCCCAAAATAGTGAGAATATATGAGCTAAATTTCCAGCGTGCTTTAAATTCTACATGAAGTTGTGGAACACTTGTTTCCTAGTCACGTTTTAAGCATTACAAGATTTGAGGGACTCAGAGTTACCTATAAATAGGCTAACTTTTCCCCCATCTTAGCACCACACAAGAGCTGGGTATTTATATTTACAAATTTTCAGCATCCCGTTTCTCTCTAGCTAGCTAGACATGGATAAAAGTCATAAAACAATGGTCAGTCGCCATGATTTTGGCAAAGATTTTGCGTTTGGTGCTGCATCATCGGCTTATCAGGTACGTCGTGCTCATAGTTTTGTTGCAGTGGTTTGCTAAACAATGGTCAGAACGCAGGCTTGCTTTTAGGCCAGAAGGTTGAACCCATGCACATGCATAAAAGACGACTGGTGTAAATGTAAAGATTAACTAATTTGGATAATGATGTAAATTTCAGATTGAAGGTGCTTGGAATGTAGATGGTAAAGGCATGAGTATTTGGGACTTTTACACACTGAAAGAACCTGGTCTCTTCTCTCTCTCTCTCTCCCTCTCCCTCCTTCCTTTCCTTTGTGTGTCTATATACACATACGTTTATACACTCAACACGCACGTGTATTTGTGTCTGATACATGTCCACTGATGAGCATATGTTTAATGGAGGAGCAGGTATCGTCGAGGATGGTAGCAATGGCTGTGTTGCTATTGAACATTATAATTTTTTCAAGGTATATATACTTCATAAATTTAATTCATTGTTTCACAAATTTCTAGTAGTGAAATTAATGTCATGTTTTGTAAGGTAAAAAACAGTAGTAAAATGAAGAGAAAACCTTGAATTTTTAAAGTCAAACTGTGTCTATATTGCACTCAGTACCAAACAAGCATTGAGTGCACTAACAAAAGGAAATGAAACTGGATTCTAATATTTATCCTTTATTTTTACTTTAAATTAAATTTCCGATGCTAGTTCTTACTCTCTAATATTCGAGTGCAAAGTGTACTAATATTTAGTATTTAATAACGGTCCAGGAAGATGTGGCTTTGATGAAGAAAATAGGTTTGGATTCTTACAGATTTTCAATTTCATGGACTAGAATTTTGCCAGGTACATTATTTCAGTAAAGCTAGAAGAATATAATTGTTTCTGTTTTATATTTTTTTTGGACATCCAACAGTGACTATTTCATTAGCTCATTTCTTTACGATCATATGACGAAATAAAGATAGGTAAACAATAAGTCTAGCGAAAATTCACCCAGGAAAATGCCTCAAAGAGGCAAGATTATGGGCCACCGTATTCCTATCTCTAGGAATATGGCAAACAGCTACAATATCAGAAACTAAGAAAGCATTAGGAGCCAGATAATTTTCCAAAATTCAAACCTTATATCACCCTTAATGCATCACTTTCAGCTTGAAGTCCATAATGCAGAGTCATTGCGAACACAAATACTCAATATCCATTTCAACCTATAGCGGTTCTCTTCATATAATTGTTTTTTATTTCATCATTTATATATAAATATGTATATACAATAAAATGCTCTGTTGAAGTTTTATTTCCACTTTTGTTTTGTATTGAAAATTAGGAGGAAGACTATCAAATGGCTTGAGCAAAGAAGGAATTAAGTTCTATAATGATCTTATAGACGAACTCGTGGCTGCAGGTTATATTTCATCATATGTACAATTCTTGTGACACTTATTTCTTTAGCAACTGGAATTTGATATATTGAATTAATTCACAATTGAAATTTATTTCTTTCAATTGCTTTTGTGTAGGCATTAAGCCTTTTGTAACTCTCTTCCATTGGGATATTCCCCAATGTTTGGAAGAAGAATATGGGGGCTTCCTAAGTGATAAAATTGTGTAAGTAACTCAACCCTGAGTCACATGGCATGTTTAATAGGAAGATAATACAAACTTAATTAACAGAATGCAAAACAACATAATTTACTCCAATATTTGTGAAGACTGAACACAAAATGGAGAATTTTACATTGTAAAGAAAAAGTGCATTATGTTTGTTACAAAGGTTAAAGTTCTAGCTAACATAATTTGATGTACTGCTTCTATCTATAATTTAGGAAGGATTATTGCGAATTTGCTGAGGTTTGCTTCTGGAATTATGGTGATCGGGTGAAACATTGGATCACACTGAATGAGCCAGCATACTTTGCTAGTCAAGGATATGCAGAGGGCACTTGGCCCCCTTGTCGGGGTAAAATTTCAGAAGAAGACGTTCAGCACAGAATTTTAGCTCATAGAAATATAGCTCAGCCTTTTGTTACATCCAAGGAAGGAAATCCGAGTACAGAACCGTATATAGTGGCACATAATTTGATCATTTCTCATGCAGCAGCAGTTAAGATATACAGGGAAAAATATAAGGTTTCAACATATTTCATCATTAATTATGTGCATACAATATCCATTGAACGTATGCACAGTTTTATTAAACTGATAGACACATTTGTATAGGCAACTCAAAATGGCAAGATCGGGATGACAAATGTCGCAATGTGGTATGAGCCTCTCAATGACAGTCAAGAGGACGAGACAGCAGCTTCTAGGGCATTCGATTTTCTGCTAGGATGGTAACTTCACCTGCTCAATATCTTGAGAATAATAAGATAAATTGCTTTGTCCTCAATTCAGTGTTGGCAATATTTATCTGCTTATCTACTTATATTTAATAAATTATTCCAACCATTCTATTTTTTCCCTTTGGTTCTCCTTCAGGTTTGTAGAACCAATGATGACTGGTCAATATCCACAAACTATGATAAATAATGTAGGATACCGTCTTCCACGTTTTACTGAAGAACAGTCTCAAATGGTGAAAGGATCCTATGACTTTTTAGGTGTAAACTATTACACTGCCCGTTATGTCACCAATAGAACAAAGTCTGCACCTCCAAGTTACACAAATGATTCAAACGTGACAATTTCAAGTAAGTGTCTAGATATTTCTCGGCTACCATTGTAAAAGGTATTAATTTGACACTTGTAACATCATACTAACTCTCTTCTTTTGCAGCTACTACGAGTCATGGGATCCCCATTGGTGATTTGGTAAGCCTTTAATTTTTCCCTTTCCGCAAAAATAAAATAAAATAATAACTAGGAAACTAGATAGGATTCTATTCTAAAAGTTTATGCTATAGTTATTCAATTTATGTACAGTTTCAACAATTTATGACAAGCATTATATAACAGCAAAAATTAACTAAAATACATCTTATGGTTTAATATATTTTTGTTTATGTTTATTGAACGCTTTTAATGTAATGACAATCTTCTTCTTTTGTTTCAGGCTCCTGGTACGATTTGGTTGTACGTTTACCCTCAGGGGATTTACAAACTCCTTATGAAAATGAAGAAAATCTATGGTGGTAACAAGGATGATGAGCCGGTCATTTACATCACAGAAAATGGTAAATAGTCATATATAATTTATTATCTTATTATTACTTATTTAGAAAGAATTATTTTCTACTGTTGCCAACATTAACTTTTCACAAGGTAATGTGATTTATTGAAAGTAATATCTCTATGATTTTGTATAGGGACGACCGACAAAAACGATAAGAAGAAAACAATCTCAGACTATCTCCCAGATAAAGATAGAATTAAATATCACAGTATGCATCTCCTCAACATTAAGAAAGCAATGGAGTAAGTCCTTAATTTTTTATTTTTTATTTTTTAATAATTTGTTAACTAAATCCATTTTTATGATTTCCCTTTTCCATATCAGCGACGGTGTAAATGTGAAGGGTTACTTCATATGGTCATTGTTTGACAGTTTTGAATGGAATAGTGGATACACTGTCAGATTTGGCATTTTTTATGTCGATTACTTGAAAGGATATTTCACAAGATACCCGAAAAACTCAGCTATATGGTATATGAATTTCCTGGAACCAACAGAACAAAAACCACCTTCAGGACTAACATCTGGAGAAGGTCAACAAAAATTACTGACGGAACAACCTGAAGAAACTCCAGAAGAAAGTCAAGGATCTCAGAAAAGGCAAAGAAACAGCTAAACAATTAGTGCTTCCTTTATTTATTCTGAAATAAATTAATGTTATGTTGAATAATGTGCTGCAGCTGTTCCTTTGAATTTCCTTACTTTTCGATTTTATATTGTACTCGTGTTCAAATAAATGGAGTCCCGCCAGCTCCAAGTCAATCTCCCTGGTGGATTGTTTAGTTTGTGCAATAAAATATCTGGAACTGGCGTGTACCTGTTCTCTTAATCTTTAGTATAAATATGTTTTTCTAGTTCTCTTTTGTATGTTCTTGTTCTTACGAAGAAATGGAGAAAAAAGCAACCCTCACAAACAGACAAAAAATATAAATGAATATTATATGGTAGAGGAAACTCAGCTTCGTAAATAAAATAAGGGAATTTACAAAAATGTCACTTTTTTTTAAAATGCATAAAATATTTTGATGTGCACACAATTTGTACAAAAATGTTACATTCTTGTTGTCAAATGTCTAAATTACCCTTAATTTGACCTTTTTTCGAGCATTTAAGGCTCATTCACAATTGTTTTTCAAAACAATTAATGTTGTGATTTGATTGTTTAATTTGTATATTATAATTATTGAATATATGAATATTATATTGTAAGATACGAATTTAGTTAATAAAAATTGAATATAAAATCCTTAAAAACCCTAGTTAACATAAAAAAATAAATTTCTTGTTAAACAAACTCTTATTTCATTTATCTTCTTCATCCACTTTCTTCTTGATCAAGAAGACATTACTTCATCCATCTTTTTCATCTATTTTGAAATGTCAGTTATTACGAATTGTTTATATTTTTATGTAATAGCTTACTCTTTTTAAAATTTTAAAAAAACATGATAATCACTACTATTAATCATCATGTTCTTTTTTTTTAATATTTTTGAAGGAAAAACATACCAAAAATATTTAGGAAAATGTGAAGTATTCCATATTTAATGAAGTATTCAGTCATTTATTTTTAGAAATAGGTTGTGATGTTGTAGTTGTTGTAGTTGAGAAATGATTATAACCATTAATGCTATCAAACACATTTGAAGCTTCTCGACAGTTCTGACAGTTGAACTGTCGAATTCGACATTTCGAAACTGTCGGGATCGACATTTTAACTGTCGAACCCAACATTTATAAATTGTCGGGATAAATAACTAAATTGTCGAATTGGATTGCTGAAAATTCTTGACACCCTTCATTTGACCTTGTACTATTGCATAAGTTTAAATATTCGAACATGTCGCTTCCATACTATTATATAATCGACATATTGATTGCACATAATTCTTATCGTTGCAAACCTGTTTTAATGTACTTTAGGTATGAACAATAATTTGAAATTTATTGCGTCACATGGGGGAAAGTTCGTTCACGTGAATGATGAATAGAAGTGGACTGGGGACAAAACCACTTTCATTTTAGTGCCGAGCAGTATTACACTACCGAGGCTATTGTTACGGTTGAACGAAAAACTTGGTGTTCTCGATCCGCGCACAAAAATGGAATTGAAGTTCAAAGTTTCCAATATGAACATACCACTGGCCGAAATACTCGAAGATGAAGACGTAAATTGGTATATATCAGTTCATAAGGAAACTGCCCTCTGCGTTACGACTTTGGAAACCAACCTGCCAAGTGTTGAAATGGAGAGGGATACAAATTACAGCCAACAATTGTTCGCTGCAGTGGAAGATCACCAAATCGTACAGGATGACGAGCTCAATCATCAGCACAGTGTCCCAAAAAATAATGCAGTCGATATTCCAATTTTCGATGGGTCTGCATCATTAGATGAGATGTTCGACGACCCCTTACATGGTACAAATACTGGTAATATTGCTGACGTTGACAAAAAACTATTATCACATTCCAAAAGTCCAGATACATGCGACTGGATTTCCACTGTGAATACGTCAGATCTTACTGAAAGGCAAATATTTTTTACTAAGAAAGAATTGTACTCCAGAATTCGTCTACTTGCTTTACGAGACAAGTTTCAATTTCAGGGTAGCAGGTAAAGCCTAAAAATGTTAACCGTTGTATGCGTGGACGATAATTGTAAGTGGATATTACGTACTTCGATTGTCAAGCAGTTTGCCATCTTTATGATTCTCAAATTCAACAATGTGCACACATGTTCCATAGATTATCGTCGTAATGCACATCGACATGTCACTAGTTCCGTAATTGCAGAGCAGATTATGGAGAAATTGGATAATACGTACGGATTGTATGATCCTATCGCTATTGCATGTGACATGGAACTTGAGTTTTGTGTGAAAATTAGTTACCATCAAGCACATAGGGGGAAGGTCGCTGCTTTACATATGCTACATGGTACATCGGGTGATATTTTTCAAAAACTTTTTTCCTACTATCATGTCATAGGAGAGAGTAACCTAGGGACAGTAACACACATCGAAGTAGATTCTCGTAATAGGTTTCACTACTTTTCCTAGCTTTCGGTGCAAGCATTCGAGGTTACGTGTACTATCTGAGACCTGTTATTTGTGTTGACGGCGGTCACTTGAAAGGTCTATACAAAGGTACCCTTTTACTGGAAACTGCCCAAGACGCTAACAAAAAGATTTATCTGTTAGCATGAGTGATCATTGATGCCGAAACGAATAGATCGTGGATGTGTTTTTTATCAAATTTGAAAGATCTTATAGGTGACTCGGACAAATTGGTGTTTGTTTCCGACAGGAAAAATAGTATTGAAAATGCTATTGCCCACCTATTTCTTCGGGCTCACCACAGGTGCTGTGTCTGGCATATGGAAAAGAATTTAATCCAACGGTACAACAACGTAAGTTCAATATTTCTTTTCAAAAGAGCCGCAAGAACTTACTGGACCGAAAAGTTTGAAAGACTTATGGGACAGTTTCGTAGGGTAAGTGCAAGAGCGTACGGGTACTTGGAGCGAGCAGGTTTCCCATTTTGGTCACGGGCACTATTTGTTGGCCAATGGTACAACATTTTGACCAACAACAACGCAGAATCTTTGAACTCAATGTTGAGACATGCCCGTTCGTTATCGATCACGTGCTTCGTGGAATACATTTGGCATACTACGCAGAAGTGGTTTTATAAACGACGAGCCAGTACAACCAAATGCAGTACCGTACTGTCACCAACGATGGAGAATAAGTTATGGACGAAGTTTGAAGTAGGTACTTGGCTGCGAGCGCATGACTTGACAGATAACTTAACACAAGTTGGAATATCCAATGACACGGACATCGTAGACTTCTCCGAAAACACGTGCACTTATCATGCGTTCAAACTGAATTTTATGTTGTACGTTCACGCAACCCTTGCTGCTTGCTTTAGAGATTAGTTATTGTATGATCTAT